TCAGGCATGGAGCAATTGCCTAGAATGCATAAGGTCCTGGGTTGGATCCTTAGTACCACAAAACAGAAAAACCAAACAAGGAGTTAAAGGAGCAGAAAAAGTACCTGATAAATATACATATATATCAATAAATATAATTAACAGTTTCAAGTGTATATCCTTCTCATGTAAATTAGAAGAGTGGGGTATATATCTTAGACTAACACCTCTGACAAGCGATACTTTGTTTGCCTGATTCATGTTAAATAAGTTAAAGGAAAACATTGGAATCTCCAGATACATTTAATCATATTTTAATCATAGCTCTTTTCAATAAAGTCCAAATAGTGATTCATATTAGCTTAATTAGATAAATAAGATGCTTTGAAAGACTGAGTTCCACTCGTAAATAGCCAACCTATGGCTTAAAGCCATATAAAATTTAAAATGATGTAAATATGAGGTAAGGATATTTTAAGTCACAAATTAAAAACCTAAACATATTTGGATGTGTTCTACTGAGGTTACTGTTTTTTTGTTGGCAAATAAAAGAAGCTAAATTTTGAAATGTAATCTATTATATAAAAGAAATACTTTAAATATAGTTTTGTCTTTTCCTTCAGAAGTGATATAATATTGAAATTATCTTAATATACCACTCGAGAATTTTGTTTACAATACAGAAAAAGAAAACATGAAAAATTGGGGGAAATCTTACATCCTCAGCATTTTAATTTATAAGTGTAGCTGTCTTATTTCCCTGTCTCTCAGTTTGCCATTGTTATCAAAAGAAGGAAGAATTGCAACAGGACCTGTGGTTGCACTTATAATCCTAGTGACTTGAAAGACTGAGATTAGGAGGATAAAGATTCAAGACCAATCTTGGCAACAGTTTCTAAGATCTTATCTCCAAAATAACCAGAGTAAAATGGACTAGAGATCTGGCATTGCAGAGTGCCTGCTTTGCAAGTGTGAAACCCTGAGTTCAAATCCTAGTCCCACCAATAGTAAAATAAAAAGAAGAAAGAATTCTAACGACTATATTTTATTTTATCTTGTGAAACACAGGAAAGATAGTAATAAATTAGATTCAGAATTTATAAATTCTTTTCCACAGTAGTTATTATATTCATTATTTGTTTTAAACTCTAGAGAATATGTACATTTAATAAACATCCTAACCCTAAGTGTGAAAAGTTGAAGGGAGGCAGAAGATACTGACCTTGCCTGAATCCACATTAACATGGTTATTGTTTTGTTTTTCTCCTGTTTAATTTATTTTATCTTGCAAAGCAATCCAACCTGGTCTTGAATCTAGATCTTCCTGCCTCACCCTCCTGAGTGCTGGAATATAATACTTGATTCTGAAAATAATTTTAATATCAGAAAACAAAGAGCTTGAAGGGATTAAAAAAGATCACAATCTATAGTGTCTTAATTTACTAATAAGAAATTGACCCAGAGAGTGTTTAACTAAGGTACTAATAGCCTTGCACATTAAGGATACACAGAGACTCAGGAATGAGAAGAAAAGCCTAACTCACAAATCTGTAGCTTTCTTATCTTGGGCAAAGTCAAGTGATGTCATTTAACCTTAGGAAGTTACTTAGTATTCCTCAATGTTAATTTCCACACCTATAAAACAGGATACAATATATCAAATTTAATATACATTCATTTTATGCTACAATCTGTTATTAGTATTTACATCTAAGATAAAATATTATAGATGAAAATATACAATTTTAGTATTTCTTAAATAATTAAGTACTACTTTTATAATTAAATATTGAGAAACTATCTTTTACTATTTTGTGAGGATTAAATGAACTGAAGGATGAAATATATCAAATGGATGTTCATTATAAAGTCTACACTTTCATTTTAAAGATGCAATGCATATATGAGAATGGTCTGAAACTTCAACTTGGGAAAAATGGGCAATTAATTTTTAACTACCTCCTTAATCTGAATGATTTTGTGATATACCTAGCTTTGTTTTTTTAAGAGAGAAACTTGTTTCAAGAAGAACAAGAATGTAGGAACATTTAATGATGCAATTGAAATCCTTCTAGTCATAGCCTGGAAGTGAAACCCTACCTCTGAGCAAATATTATCAATTTTCATCATCATCTAGAGTGTTCTTTCTATGACTCCTGAGCTCATCTGTTATGAGAGGAAAAGCAATTGAAGAAGTCCACTTCAGCAAAAATAGATTCCTTTTAAGAAAAAATGGTGCCTAAGAAAAGTCCCATAAAGGAATTAGAAATATTTAGATTACATAGAACATTCTATTCATATATTTTATGTTTTATATGTTTGCATATATTTTAAATTCCCACCAAGAAATTCTGCTTGAATAGTCATCCTTTGGAATTATACATACTTTTCTAAAATATATTTATTATTAAACTACTTATTTAAAAAAATTTGATAGCTCATTATAGAAATTGCATTTTCAATAGAACTATATGTAGATATATTTGTGATTTGATTGCAATTTTGTAGTGAATATCTTTATATATGATATACACTTTATATTTTCTTTTCAAGTTTAGTTGCTCATCTGAGTACTTCTATACCCCTTTTGTCAGAGTGTGGTGAAAATTACACATCTGAAGAGGACAAAATTGGAAAAATTAAGTAGGAAAATTTTGACTGTTAATGTGATTGATGCTTTGTGAAGAGAGCTGTGATGGGGATCTGGGAGAGAGAGGTATTAACATAATGGGTAGGGAGAAGGATGAAATCTGAATATCAATTGCAAGTTACCTAAATTCTGCTCATTTAAATTAAGTTAAATATGCTCTTTGGGTTTCTTCACATAATGATACTATCTTGTAAGTCTTCACATAATTACACTATCTGGTAAGTTGAAAGAAAGATGTAAGCAGTTAAGGTAAAAAGTGTGGTTTTAGATAATTACCATCAATATTTTCTTTTTAAACAGCTTGCATTTTTCACTGTCTTCTTGAATCTTGCCAATCTCTGTTAATACAGAGATTGATCTCTGTTAGCACATAAACTTGATTTCCATTTTCAGGGTGGTTCTTGGGTCCAATATGTTTCATATCTAAGTATAATTTACAAAGAAAGTGAAATATCCTTCCTTTCAGTTTATGTCCTCCACTCTAGTTTTCAAATGCATAGCATTTCTTTAGTGAAATGGTTTCCGGTTGATTATGCTACTTTCCTTCTCTCCATATGTGGTAATGGGTCAAATTAAATAAGAGAATTGTTTCAGAAGTATGATGGTATGTCTGAAAAAGGGCTGTATCTTCTCCTCTCCCCTCCTTTCCCCACTTTTGTCTTTCTCTCTTTCTCTCTCTCTCTCTCTCTCACACACACACACACTATACACACACATTCGTTAACACACACACAAAAGCATACATGCACATACTCTTACTGAATTGAGCCTTCATTTCTACCTCTCATTTGCCAGAACCACATCACATTATGAAGCTCTCTCCACCTAAGTATTAGTTTTCAGACTCAGAAAAAAAAAATCTTTTAAATCTGTACACCTTCCCCAACCTTAGGAATTTCCCAAACTCAGGTTCTTCCTTCAACGTTTTCACTACTGAGTCTTCTCCAAATACATGTATGCTTACATGTTTGATTTTTGGTATAAACTATCAGCAGGCTTGTAACAACTGTCTGTCTTGCCTATGACATAATTAAAAAAGAAAGTGGTGTTAAGCACATCTCTGCTTCCTTTGAAGCAAGGACCAAAAAAACAGGTTTTTTCTTCTTTTTTAATGTTCTGTAAATTCCAAATCCCAAAATGATGCATACTATTTTGGAATTTTTTGATGGAAAGATGTTCACTCTGATAAAAATGTGTTTCCCAAAAGAATTCTGTTTCTTCCCCTCTTCACAGAAGCCTGTATAACTAGGTTTATATAGTCTCCAAGTCCGAGAGTCTGATGATCCTCTCCCTATGAAAAACCTGAGAATTGGGCTCCCCTAGCATCACTGACCCAGCTATTGCTGGGAAAAGGAGCTGCTGGTAACTTGCACGTAATCTTTCCACCGAGCTTTAGAGAAGGAAGATTTCTGTTCTGCCTTCTAAAATGCAACTGGTTATTTACTTGTATGCATTTAAAATTTGCCGTGATATGGAAACTTTGTTGAGTGTTTGTGTGTCCTCTGGGTGTGTGTGTCCTGCGTATGCGCCTGCCTAGTATTTGATTTTTAAGAGCACTCATGAATTGGGATTTTTCCCTGCCCCCTCCTTCCTCCTCCGGATGTCAGGGAAAGCTTTTGGATCTGGAGTCAAAGACATAAACATGAATTGTGTTTTCATCCTGCATACTTAAATAACAGTGAAGAAATACCATCAGAGAAAGCTAACTCTCTATGACCAAATTGGTTGAAATTCTATAACAAGTTCAAAAAAGAAAAGTACGATACTAAATTATATATCGTGCAACAAATATTCCATACCCAATTATGATATTATGTAATATACATGTTCGGAATAGCCACTTTCTATGTGCCTCCCCCCCAAAAAATTTTAAAAGGCTTGAAAGACATCAACGGCATAAAACGCTGTACCGCAGAGAAGGCAGAAATGCATTTAAAGCACCAATGAAAATGGCGTGCAGTATAATTACCTCAAATTGCTGTTCGCTTGACACCCTGACACTAATTTTATTCAAGCCATTGGGAAATAAATGTTTAAAAGCACTGCTTTCGGAATGCTAGAGCTAGCGGGGGCTGTGAGGTCGTTAAGGAAAGGAAAGGGTAAAGTTTCCAGCACAAAAAAAGAAAGAATTAAATAATCCATTTAAAATAAGCATCTATGTAGATCGACAGCCTTTAATGCCCACATTTTTAACGCTTGCCCTGTACGTGGATTGATTTTTTTTTTTTTTTCCTTTCAGCATTCCCTCACCAGATGGATTTTTGCTACTGCAGATCAGCAGAGGGTGTCAGATCTTTCAGAGTGCACCAGGCTGGAACGAGCAGAGCTTCTTAGCAACTCTCTTCTCCCTCTCGCTCGCTCCCCCCATTCTCGCGCTCTCTTCCTCCCTCAGACAACTCGCTCTCCCTCTCTCCTCACCAACCCCCCTCCTCCACGTAATTCCGAAAGAGCAGAAGAAAGAGAAGGAGAACAAGAAACGAAGAGCTAGTAAACGAGAGCGGGAGCACAGAAAAAAGGCTGAAGAGGACCGAAAGGGAGGAAAAGAGAAGAATGGACAACCACAAAACGCAGAGATTGCGGAAAATTTCCAGCGCCATTGGCTGGGCAGCGTGAGTCCTTTGGTCAGGCGTGATTTCAGCACCGGGGGGACTGGACAGCACCTCGGGGGGGACTTGGGCAATCCTCAATCATAGCAAGAACTCCTCTCCAGCAGCCTCCACCACAGAAGACGCTGAAAACCCTGCTTTGTATCAGAGAGGCAAGGTCAGTCCGACGCACAGCCATGCACAGGCAGTGCGCCTGTACTACACTGCAAACCTGCTTGTTTCTCTAACATGCACTTGCTTCTTTCTAATTACTAGCATTGTTCTCTTTCTGATTAGTGAGTACCACTAGACGCGATTCTATAAAGGTGTATTTTTAAATTTTATATGTATATATTTAACTTCCTTGAATATTTTTAAGGGGTTGAGGGGTGTAGGGGGGGTTTCCTACTTTTTAAAAAAAAATTGCTTGCCTTGCACTACGTGCCTGGATAGTTTGTGGATATCATTATTGACTGGCGTCTGGGCTATTGCAGTGCGGGGGGGGGTTAGGGAGGAAGGAATCCACCCCCACCCCCCCAAACCCTGTTCTTCTTTCCTGAGATCGGACACTGGAGCACTAAATGAACTTGAATTGTGCCTCTGGCGAGCAGGATGGTTGCTGTTACTTTGTGATGAGATCGGGGATGAATTGCTCGCTTTAAAAATGCTGCTTTGGATTCTGTTGCTGGAGACATCTCTTTGTTTTGCCGCTGGAAACGTTACAGGGGACGTTTGCAAAGAGAAGATCTGTTCTTGCAATGAGATAGAAGGGGACCTTCACGTAGACTGTGAAAAAAAGGGCTTTACAAGTCTGCAGCGTTTCACCGCCCCGACTTCCCAGTTTTACCATTTATTTCTGCATGGCAATTCCCTCACTCGACTTTTCCCTAATGAGTTCGCTAACTTTTATAATGCGGTTAGTTTGCATATGGAAAACAATGGCTTGCATGAAATCGTTCCGGGGGCTTTTCTGGGGCTGCAGCTGGTGAAACGGCTGCATATTAACAACAACAAGATCAAGTCTTTTCGAAAGCAGACTTTTTTGGGGCTGGACGATCTGGAATATCTCCAAGCTGATTTTAATTTATTACGGGATATAGACCCGGGGGCCTTCCAGGACTTGAACAAGCTGGAGGTCCTCATTTTAAATGACAATCTCATCAGCACCCTACCTGCCAATGTGTTCCAGTACGTGCCTATCACCCACCTCGACCTTCGGGGAAATAGGCTGAAAACGCTGCCCTATGAGGAGGTCTTGGAGCAAATCCCTGGCATCGCTGAGATCCTGCTAGAGGATAACCCTTGGGATTGCACCTGTGATCTCCTCTCTCTGAAAGAATGGCTGGAAAACATTCCCAAAAATGCTCTAATTGGCCGAGTGGTCTGTGAAGCCCCCACCAGACTGCAGGGCAAAGACCTTAATGAAACTACTGAACAGGACTTGTGTCCTTTGAAAAACCGAGTGGATTCCAGTCTCCCGGCACCCCCCGCACAAGACGAGACCTTTGCCCCTGGCCCCCTGCCAACTCCTTTCAAGACAAATGGGCAGGAGGATCGTGCTACCCCAGGGTCTGCTCCAAACGGAGGTACAAAGATCCCCGGCAACTGGCAGATCAAAATCAGACCCACGGCAGCAGTGGCGACGGGAGGTGCCTGGAACAAACCCCCTGCGAATGGCTTGCCCTGCCCCGGGGGCTGCAGTTGCGACCACATCCCCGAATCAGGTTTAAAGATGAACTGCAACAACCGGAACGTGAGCAGTTTGGCTGATTTGAAGCCCAGGCTCTCCAATGTGCAGGAGCTTTTCCTGAGAGATAACAAGGTCCACAGCATCCGAAAAGCGCACTTTGTGGATTACAAGAACCTCATTTTGTTGGATCTTGGCAACAATAACATAGCCACCGTGGAGAACCACACTTTCAAGAACCTTTTGGACCTTCGGTGGCTGTACATGGATAGCAACTACCTGGACACGCTGTCCCGGGAGAAATTCGCCGGACTGCAGAACTTAGAATACCTGAACGTGGAGTACAACGCGATCCAGCTTATTCTCCCTGGCACTTTCAACGCCATGCCCAAACTGAGGATCCTCATTCTCAACAACAACTTGCTGAGGTCCCTCCCAGTGGACGTTTTCGCGGGGGTCTCACTTTCTAAGCTCAGCTTGCATAACAATTATTTCATGTACCTCCCGGTGGCCGGGGTGCTGGACCAGCTAACCTCCATCATCCAGATAGACCTGCATGGAAACCCCTGGGAGTGCTCCTGCACCATTGTGCCTTTCAAGCAATGGGCAGAACGCCTGGGTTCTGAAGTGCTGATGAGCGACCTCAAGTGTGAGACGCCTGTGAACTTCTTTAGAAAGGACTTCATGCTCCTCTCGAACGACGAGATCTGCCCCCAGCTGTACGCCAGGATCTCGCCCACGTTAACTTCGCACAGTAAAAACAGCACTGGGTTGGCGGAGACCGGGACACACTCCAACTCCTACCTAGACACCAGCAGGGTGTCCATCTCCGTGTTGGTCCCGGGACTGCTGCTGGTATTTGTCACCTCCGCCTTCACCGTCGTGGGCATGCTCGTGTTTATCCTGAGGAACCGCAAGCGGTCCAAGAGAAGGGATGCAAACTCCTCAGCGTCCGAAATTAATTCCCTACAGACAGTCTGTGACTCTTCCTACTGGCACAATGGGCCTTACAACGCAGATGGGTCCCATAGAGTGTATGACTGTGGCTCTCACTCGCTCTCAGACTAAATCCCCAAAACTGATGAAGAGGGGAGGGAAGCCAGAGAGCGATACATCCTCTGCCTCCAGCATACCAGCGGTTTGACCCAAATCTAGTGTACCCCAAGCCTTGATGGACATAAGTAAATAAATAACTGGGAATTCACTCAACTAAGAGGCTCTGACCCTTTAGATCCCTTCTGGAAACAAAGAGCACAGTGTGGCTAGCCAGGCAAACGCAACTGGCTTGCTCTTTGCTCTGAGCTCTTTTGACTGAAAGCCCTGCATGGGCCCTGCCAGAAGAATACAGTATCCTCGTCCCTGGCAGAAGGACCTGTGGGGATGACTGCCTTGGTTCTATACATATATACATATATCCATATCTATATAGAGAGATAGATATCTATTTTTCCCCTGTGGATAGCCCCTATGATGGCTCCCTGTTGGCTTCGCAGGGATGGGCAGTTGCACGAAGGCATGAATGTATTGTAAATAAATAACTTTGACTTCCGACAAAATCAAAAAACAAAAAGTGCTGCATGGCTCGCATGGAATCCACGCGCTCCAGGGACTCTCCTGCGCCCCTCCCCCCCGTGACTGGAGATGGTGTCACAGCACCCACCCTCTTACCTGATAAGTCCCATCGTATCAAACTTTCTATAAACAAAATATAGTATAATCAAAAAGTGCCATTTCTCCATTATTTGTGATTGGTAGGCAGTTCAGAGCGTATGTTTACTGTGAAAAAATGTAAAGGTTTTATTTAAGACATTTGCATGGCTCTTCATCAGTCCATCTAATGAGTTAATGTATTTAGTTGAGGAGTTTTGGGGATTGTTTTGGGTTTTTTATTTTGATGGTGATGTTTTATTTTATTTTATTTTTTGAGGGGGAATATTTTTTTATACATATCCAATAATGCCTTCCATCTGAATGTAAAATAAGTACCCATGATTTCTATTATAGTATCAGTGTAATTATTTAAAAAAAAAGATTTTGAGGCAGTTAAGCATGACCAATTAACGTCACTCTAGTGCTTAGGCTGCGATCCTATGTTAGCAATTCTGTGCTGGTATCAATCTTACTTATAAAGTAGGAACAAAGAACCGAGAAAGCACGTGAAACTTACTAATTCTATTCAAGGATTTTATAATGGCATATTTTTTCAGTATTAAAGTGAAAATGTTTTCAAATCTGGGTCCTTACATTTTTCCAGCTTCATTTTTGCAAGTGGTAAATTGGATTAGTGGTGCAAGGGGGGAGTGGAACGGAGGGGGGTGGAACCCTTTTTGAGCTACGTTAAGACTCTTTCAGTAATGCCTCAGCCCTTTACCTTTCACTAGATCCTCCTCCAGCAGCCCCCACCTTGCCTTAGACTTTCCTGGCTTTCCCCTGTCATTAAAGTCTTCTCCCATCTCCCTCCCCTCCCCTTTCCCTGCTCCTAATGTGGCAGTGGATCCTTTATTAATACTGGAAATCCCTCGCTGCTGCTTTTGTTGGTGCTGCCCACACTGCAGATACATTAAGGATGTTAGGAGAGAGTTGATTTAATTGACTCTGCCTAGATCGGTCTCATTAAACAGAGTGGAGATTTCATTGGTCAGCACTCCTCCATGAAAGGCAGATCTAATGACTGGCATTTGAGATGCTGCTGGCGTTTTCAATTCAACATCTGCTGAAAATGGTAAAACTAATTAGTACCCACCTACCCTCCCCGCCCCCGCAACTGCATATGGAAATTTGTTAAAGTATTCATCTTTATGAAAATCAATCATTATCCTAAAGAAGTGCTTCTTTCCTATCATCTGGATTTCTGTTTGTGGCCCAGTAATTAACAAGAAAAGCATTGAACTGTTTGAATTTTATAAGCCAATGCAATTCTGGCCTCAATTCCACTGGGATTTCTAAACAAGTCTATTTTACCAGCAGTTAAGGTAAAAAGCCAGGCAAACTACTGGAGTCTGCATTCCACCACTTATCTAGCCTTGAGAAATATGTCCAAAAACTGCAGACCTCGGACTTAAAAAATAAATAAATAAAGCTACAGAATTATAAAACACCTTAGAAAAAAAATAGCCCCAGAGCAGTTGAAACCAGATCTGCCATCTAGAACTCCTTTTCTAAAGGGAAGTAATTTCCCAGAACTGTGGTGTTCTGGAGTATGTATTATTTATTTTAACACTTTTAAAATAAAATCTTTATTATAAACCATGACTATTATAAGGCCATTCATCATTTTTTTCTTGGTTCTTTTGTTTGTGGAGCGTATCTCACATGGTGAATTGGAAACTACTATCCTCTGACAAATATTATTGCTTGTTTTTTATTTACTTTTCTTATGAAAGTTTTAATCTATTTTATGGAAAGAGGAAGTGGGTTTTGGAAAACAACCAACAGCATTATTTGTGATAGAAAAATTGGGGAAGGTGAACAGTCATGTATTAAGGAGGAAATGCAAAAATTGATGGATGTAGAAATATATTGGTTGGAAGGTGACATTTAATGAAAGAAAGCTAGCGAGGCATGCAGGTATCATTTAAAACTGATACATGGGTAGTCCAGATCAGGAAACTGGAACCTCTTATAGAAGATTTGCACAGGGGCAAGAACTTTTCTTTGTCCTAATTCAAAAGGAATTTCAATGGAAGACAAGATTAAAGGGGTAAAATTATTTTTAAAGTAGTACTTTCAATGGTTTTTGAGTAGTCACTCTGCTCCAGACAAGTGCTAAGTGGTTCATGTAATAATTTACAGGTTCACAGAAGAAGAGTTACTTAGTAAAATGCTACTGTTTCCATTATACAGATAAGAAAATTGAGGCCCAAGGGCAGTAAGCAATAATTTTGGTCATGCATGGTAAACAGCTGAGCCCAATTCCTTCATACTTCAAAACTTCATTATTTACATAAAACAATCATATATTAACCACTAAAAGAAGGTTACCAGTAAAATACAAAGCTATAAAATATAACTGTACACATAGATATTAAAATAATGAGTATAAATTATAGATATTTATATACTGACTACAATAATTATTAGAGCTGTCAGAATATGTTAACAAATAATAATATATGCTAAAAACCATGTAGAAAATATCAAATTATTTCACATTACAAGTGTTTATTATGTAAACCAACATTTATTTATTTTTATAAACTATCTCTGTCATAGTTTTATTTATATAAGTTTAATAAATATGTTTTATTAAGTTATATGTATGTTTAGAATACAGAAAACATAATGCACATGGTTTAACCATATATCTTTCACTTAGAAGCACTTACCATCTTATTTTTGTTTGGTCTTTACATAAAATGTTCAAATAGCTGTAGTTATTAGGTACACTAATAGAGACACCTTGTTTCTAGTCAAATAATTGTTGATATATCAAAAAGAGATGAAGAGATTTTGGTTGTGCCCAATGAAAGGAAGGAAGAAAAATAAGGTATCTTGTTTAGTGACATTGCTAAAAAGAAATAGTAGCTTCATTGGCTACTGCTGTAACTAAGAACATCCTAGAACTTAAGTTGTTGCCATAGAAATTTATTGTTTAATTATTTTGCATGTTCATCCAAGTGAAAGCTACAGTGGCTGTTACAACATGAACATAACCAGATTCTTTTCTTTAATGGTATTTGTATTGGATGTAATTAGAACTATTGGGCATTTAGATGAGTGTTAAAATTATGTTGGTGATTCCAAGGAGAGTTTAATTTAGCTATTTCAGGTTATTTTTAATGTTATTTCTTATGTGTGGAAAGATGAATGAAAATGGATGAATTTGCAAGGGTGCATGTAGAAGTGTGTGTTTATAATACTTTGGCTGAATGTTAAATAGGGTCCTTTCTAATCTAGCTTTGCTGCTACCTAATTTATAAGTATTATTTTTATTCATATGTTTATTTGAAGGAAACACATATAAAATGTGCTAAGATTTAATTTTAGCATGTTGTAAGTTTTAGTTCATCTTTTTGTTTTATTTGAATTTATTTCAGATGCAATATATCATTTAATTTTATGAGAGTCTCTATAATTTCCACAGAGCTATAGTAAAAACATACTCACATTTTCATAAAGTTATATTATGTACTCTAATGTAGTCCTGCACTAAAAAGAACAGGTTAAATTAAATAAATTTTATAAACTTCCTGGTTTTTTCTTTCATATATGGAATTGTCAAAATGAACATACAAAACATACAGGATTTTCTTCTTGATGTTGAAGCTTAAAGACATACCATGAAATGATTCCTTGGAAGCACATATTACAAACAGAAAAATTCTGAAAACATAAACTGGTATTTAATCTATTGTGACCTATCAAAATTTGGTAGGATTTCAGAAAATCATTGAAAATTGAAGATAATAAGAGAGTGTTTAAGAAGTACAATTTTAAAATGAAATTGACCACTAAAAAATCATCTTAGACTTCTTTACATCTTGAAAGCCCAATGTAAGACTTTTACCTTAATTGACTGACAATTTCAGTTTATTGGCTTGGACCTTAACTGTCTGATTAATTACTTTTTAACCATTTAGTTTCTAAATGCACATTATATTATTAGATTCCTGAAATATAATTATATTTCAGACTTAAAATTTGTATAAACTTTACTGGAGATGTATTTATAGTTCAAAAATTTTTTAATGTGCTAGATTTAAATATGCAATTGGCAATATTGATAAGGCACTACCTGAAAAATATAGTGGTTCTTTGCTATCCTAGAATATTGGTTCCAGGACCTCCTTGAGATAGCAAATTACACAGGTGTTCAATCCCTCTATAAAATAGTGTAGAATTTTCACAAACCCTAGGGACATCTCCCAAAAGTAATCTCTAGATTACTTTTAATATCTAATACAATATATCAAGTATGTAAATCGCTGTTCTAGTGTATTATTTATTAACTCAGGATAATGAGCATAGTCTTTACATGTTCAGTACAGATGAACTTTGTTTTGTTTTGGTTTTTGTTTTAATATGGATATCTCTTGTTGCTGAAGCTGGCCTTGAAACCTGGGCTCAAGTTATCCTCCTACATCAATCTTCTGAGTAGCTAGACTGCAGGCCTCTACCACACTTGACCAGAAGCACTTAAAAAATATTTTCAGTCCATTATTGGTTGGATCTATCAATGTAGAATTTATGTTCCTCCAGGGCCAATTGTATTATAGGAAATTTCTTCAGCAAAGAAAATAAAGTCATTTTAACCTCAGGGAAACTGAACAGAAAAGGTGAGATATACACCACTGTAATCACAGAAAATAGTATGTCATTAATTGTGCCTAAAGAATGCTGCTAGAACATTTTGTGTTTCTGTCTAAGTAATTTAGGATTTAGCTATCGCTTCTAAAAGTTGAAAATCTTAATGTTTTAAATGAAAAGATACATTGAGTACAATGCTGGCTCTATTTTCATTTTCATGTGAAACACAAATAAAGCCTGATATTTTATAACTTCATCATGTTTTCTCACTAATCACTGTAAAAAAGACAAAAACTAGTTATTATCTTCACAAGTGAAAAGAACTCTTCAATTTCAGTAATTTGAGAAATCAAATATTAGTTTGGAAAATTGAATAAAATATTTTTAATATTGAGAGTTTAGAAATAATTGCAATTGCCTGTCATTTGTGCCATTTTTGTGCATAAAATAAATATGTTTTAATGTGATATTACATGAACTTCTATAAATTTACTTTAAAAGTAAGAATTCTCATGCTATTTTCTATTTAGTTAGTGTTAATATTTAATTATTGAGCAGCAACATCCAGATGCTCAAGTCCAAAGGTTTGGCAAGCAGAGAGCAGCAGCAAAGCCCTGCGTCCACTCTCTGCTTTTCAAATCATGCTCAGCTGCAACATATCGATAGGAAAAATCAATAAATAGTGAAAATTAGAAGTGCGTGAATACAAATAATAAATGTCACTCTTTAATCTTATCAAACAAGTAGATTCTGCATCCCAAAAAGGGGAAACGGCCACTACTACCATAAACAATAATGGCTCTGTCCAGAGTCTGTGATATTTATTGTCTACTTTTCCTTTTTTAAGTTGATATCTTCTTCAACATTTCCAAGTGGTTTATGAGGTGAGAAATGAATGCATATCATTATGATAGTAATATAATTCGAATCATATTAAGTGTACATATTATCACTTGTATAAAATAATAGGATTACACAACAGTAAAGGAATGTAAAATCCTGCCATTGCCTAAATACTAGACTAGATTCGCCTATTTTAGTGCAGGTATTTTTAGTTATTAAAATAATTAATTTTTATAACTAAGAAAACTATCCATGACTAAATGTGTTTATTATATATAAACTATTTTGATTCAAAAGATATGAAATGATATCATATAATAATTATAGGGCAATTTCTGATCAATTAAATAAATTTAGTAGCTGTTCTGACTAAGTTGTAAACCCACTTAACTTGCCCTAAATGTTTGTGGCAGCTTACATAACAAATGTTTAAGTATGGCTTTACCATCAATGAGTCAGAAATTAGTCTCAATGTTCCCAAATGATGTACATAAATTGATTTACTAGTTATTGGATTACTTTACAGGGATTGAAATTACTAAAAAAGGAAAAATAGTGAATTTAGTGCTGTAAGCACTTGTGTCTTTTAAATATCTAAATGTTTTTTGATGTCTCAGTAAATGGTTTGGTAAGAGAGACAACTTTGAATTTATTGGTCATGAAATGTTATCTTTTAATTTTGCAGCAAAATTTGATTGTATTACATTTGTAATTTTCACCAGATAGTCACCAGTATTCCAACAATAAGATACAATATTGCTGATGGCATTAGGTATAGCCAGATATTAGTACATAACAAGGAGGTCATCTCAGTAGGGTATCACCTCTTATGGAGGAATAACACTTGAAACCAAAAAACTAACATCTGGAAACAGTAATAACCCTTAAGAATTGAATTACATGGACTATCATACTATAATTTATGTCTCAAAATTTTGACAGAAATTTAGAACAAAGCCAGATTCAGCACTTTTGAACATTATTTGTTTCAGCATGAAATCCAGCCCAATACAATTGTGTGTCAAGCTTTTTGCAATGTAGAGAATTTTTACATGAATAGCTAATATTGTACCTATTACATTTTATCCCTATAAAACTAATTTATACACTTAATGAGTAATTAAATGCATAAAGTAAAATCAGACTGACTTTCCATTATAAAT